TCCTATCCCCATAGCTTTCTCATATCACTGAATGGCAAGTGTATTCTTGCCAAGGCTCAAAAGAAAAGAGAGACTTATCTTTTACTTTTCTCTTTCTAAGACTTTTTATCCAATTTGATAAAAAATACTGTTGGCCCAGCTTTCCAAATATCCAGAATCTGACCACCCTCCCCCACCTAGTCCCAATACAGCAATCAAGTGATTATTCTACAATGGAAGTCACATCACGATATTCCTCTCATACAATTTCCCTCATCCAAGGCTCCCTATTGCACTGAAGGTAAAAGCCAAAGTCTTTAACTGATCCTCAAGGTTCCTCCATTCCTAATGCCCCATGGTATCACTCTTCTCCATCCTCACTCTGCTTCACCTACAGAAGTCCCCTTGCTGTTCCTCAAACAAGCCAGGAAGAGTCCTCCTTTAGGCTTTTGGTCCACAGGTTCTGTCTGGAATAGGTTCCCCAGGTAGCCACATGGTTCCTACATCTCTTTCAAAACGCTGCTGAAATATCATCTTCCAAGGAGGCTTAGCTTTGTCAACCTATTGCAATCTGTTACGCCTCCACCCTTATTGATTATCACTTGCGTTTTTCTGCTGGAATATAAGTCCCTGAAGAGCAGGGATTCTTTTGTGTGTGTTTTGTTTGTTGATGTAATTCAAGCATTTCACACAGTGACAGGCAAATAATGGAGCTTAATAAATATTTATTGACAACATAAACATGTAAATAACATTGTACAGTTTGGAGAACAAGTAACTTACCCGACAAAACAATACAAAGTGCAACCACACTTGTAGTCAGAACTGCAATGATGAACAGGCAACAATAAACCTTGACAGGAGTTACTGGAGACATAAGTGCTAGGCATTTTCTTTGCAGAGTTTTACCTGTAAAATACAAATATCAGAATCTCAATCTCAGGAAGATCGTAGGGAGAAAATGTATCACACAATCAACACAAGCTTAGCTGTACTTCAACTATCCTATTGCCAACTCCTTTCACAAAAGGTCTTGGTTCAAAAATGAGAAAGATGGCCCAAAGAGGGCTAGAGATAAAAATCAAATTGTCCCCATCCTCAGGGAATCTTCCAGTTATTGGAAAAAGAGTAGAAATTGGGATGAAAAAGAAACAGTAACAATCCAGATTTAGTCTCTTAGTAAAACAGCTGGTTAGAAGCAACGAGGAAAACAGAAAATGAATCAATGTAATTCACCATATTAATAGAATGAGAAAGGGACAACATATGAGCATCTGAATCAATGCAGCAAGAGCATGTGAAATACTTCATATTCATCCACAATAGTAGTCTCAACAAATTAGAAATTGAAGAATCTTCTTCAACCTGATAAAGGGCATCTACAGAAAAATTACAGCTAGCACCAAACTTGATAAAAGAATGAATCCCAGTGACAAGGAATAAGGCAAAGGTGTCTGCTCTCTCTCACCAATCCAACTTAACACTTTGCTGGATGTCCTATTAGGGGCAAAAAGATAAGAAAAAAGAAAGAAATGTCATACAGGTTCGAAAGAAATAAAAGTGTTGTTCTTCACAGACGACATAGTTGTTCTGCATATAAAATTCTAAAGAATCTACCGAACTGCTACCAGAATAAATGAATTTGGCAAAGTTACAGGATTAGCTATGTTAATATATAAAAATATATTTTCATATATTCATAATTATGAAGTGGAAATTTAAGTATAAAAACAATGCCATATATAATAACACAAAAGACTATTATAAATATATCAAAATATGTTTAGGATCAGTATGATGAAAGCTACAAACCAATGGGACAAAGAAATCAAAGCAGACTTGAATCAATAGAGAGATATAAGATATTCATAGACTGTAATATGAAATATTCTGTATGTCAATTATACCCAAAAAGGTTTAGAGATTCAGCATAATCCTGATAAACATTGCAGTATGAATTTTTTATAGAAACAAGCAAAGTAATCTTAAAATTATATGGAAAAGCAAAGAACTAGAATAGCCAAACAATTTTGAAGAAAAAATGGCCAAATTTGGAAATCAAAGAACCTTTGTTCATAATTTACAAAGTAATAGAAACAAAGACAGTATGATATTGACAAAAGAACAGACACATAAATCAATGGAACAGAAAAAGGATTTCAGAAACAAATCCAAACATGGATGGTCACTCGACATTTGACAGAAATGGAAAGTAATCAGGCAGGTAAGGGGCAGTATTTTCTGAACATGTAATGCTGGAACAATTGAGTATCCTAATGCAAAACAGTGAACCTCAACTCACACCTAATACCTTATAAGAAAATTAACTCAAAATAAATCTCAGATTCATATATGACACCTCCAACCCTAAAACTATTAGAAGGAAAGAGAAAAATAAAATATTTGCAAACCCGAATTAGGCAAAAATTTCTTAGATACAATACCAAAAGCATTATCAATATTTAAAAAATTGATAAAATGAATTTAAACATAATTAAAACTCTCTATGAAAAAAAAAAAACCCTGAAAGGGGAATAAAAAGACAAGCAAAGGCAGAAAAACATCTTTCTAAAAAGCGAATTGTATCTAGAATATATTAAGAACTCAAAACTCAACAATAAGAAAACTAAATTAAAAATGGAGCCAACTATTTGGAGATACACTTGATTAAAGATATATGAATGGAGAATAAGTACATAAAAACATGCTTGAAATAACCAGCCGTTTGAGAAATACAAATTAAAACCATAATGAGTGACTACTATGTGCTTATTAGCGTGGGAAACAAAACAAAACAAAACAAAAAACCAACCAACCACTGGTGAGGAAGGGATGTGATATGGTTTGGATCTCTGTCCCCACCCAAACTTTATGTTGAATTGTAATCTCCAGTGTTGGAGGTGGGGCCTGGTGGGAGGTGATGGCATCATGGGGGCAGATTTCCCTCTTGGTACTGTGTCGCAATAAGAGTGAGTCCTCTTGAGATCTGGTTGTTGAAAACTGTGTGCTACCCTCCCCCGCTCCCTCTCTTCTTCCCACTCCCGCCAAATGAAGGGTGGACTCCCCCTTTGCCTTCTGCCATGAATTGTTAAGTTTCCTGAGGCCTCTCTAGAAGCTGAGCAGATACCAGAATCATGTTTCCTGCCCAGCCTGTGGAATGGTGACCCAATTAAACCTCTTTTCTTTACAGATTACTCAGTCTCAGGTTACTTCTTTATAGCAGTGCCAGAATGGACAGGATGCATCTGGAATTTTCATGCATCATGACTGGAAACACAAAATGTTATAGGCACTCTGGAAAACAGTTAAGCAGTTCGTTATCATAAATGTAAATGCACCACATGCCCTGGCTATCCTATCCCTAGGTATTTAGGCAAGGAGAGTAAAAACTTGTGTTTACACAAAAACCTGCAAGGAGTATTTACATCCGCTTCATTCATTATCAGAAAAACTAGCAACAACTCAGAAATGCTTCAGCTGGTAAAGAGGTAAACAACTATTCTTCAGTCCTAATAAAAGAAAAACTTAATCACACATTCACAATTGCCCGTTTCTTACTGTGTGTTAGCTCGCCAAACTTTTGTCAAGTTTTTCTCCTCCTGACAGACCCCAAATGGGTTTGCCTGCAAGTTTGCCTAACAAGCCCCAAAGCACAGACTTGGAAAAAACATCCTGCCTTACCCTGACTACAAAACACCATTTCCTGTTGAAATCCCTAGACTTCTTCCCCTGCTTTCTCCCACACCATTAACATATTTTCAAAATCAATGTTACTTCTATTGCAACAGTCCTTTTGAATAAAGTTTCTCCCTATCTAAGCTCAGACTTGTTTTTCTTCGACACATGACACATACTATAATACAGATGACTTGCAAATGTATCATTGCTAAGTGAATAAAGTCAGATTCTACATTTACCTACTGCAGGATTCCGCTGATATGACATTCTGGAAAAGCCAAAGTACAAGAACAAAAAACAGATCAGTGATTGCCAAGGGCTGGGGGTAGAGGAAGAGACATTCTACACAGGAGCATGAGGGAATCTGGAGTGGGTGGGTATGGCTCAATATCTTGACTCTGATGGTATTACATGAATATATGTTTATCAAAACTCATAGAAATGTACACCAAAAGAGTGAATTTTACTGAATATAAATTGTAGTATTTTAAAAGTCCCTGCCAACTTATTTTCGTTTAACATACATCTCCAAGAATAACAAGGAGTTTCAGCTTAGATTCTAGACAGGGAAAAAGATGGGTAAGAATAGATGATCTTAAGCAGTAAATATTGTTTGGATTTTTGCTCATATAAAAATCTCAACCTTTATTCTTTCTGGTTCCACACGAATGCAAAATTGTCTTAAAGGTTCAGAATACTAAGACTTCCATAATTCTTTTTCATTCTTACTAAGTGAATATGTAACTCTCCCCTTAAAATTTCCCCCAAATCTCCCATTTGCCTATCTTACTAACCTTCTAAATGTCCCTAGTACTCTTCTCCTTTTTTACATCTCTAGCTCCTCCAACTAATACTGAGACAGCCAGGTGGGAAGGGGTCCCTAGAGAAACTCCAACCAGCCTGCCCACTGAGGTGGAGCCTTGGGAAGTTCACAAGGTTTGCAGCAGGAATGAGCCTGGGCCTGGCCCCTCCTTCTCCTGTGTGGAACCTGGGATTCAAACTGCCAGGTGGAAAGCGCTCTAGCAGATGGCCTCTGGCCTTGCGAGAGTGCCTGTTTCCCCCCTTTTTCCCTTTTTCACAGAATAAAACCCTGCTTCACTCACCCTTTAAACCATCTGCAAGTCTGAATTTTCATGGTTGTGGGACAAAGAATCTCGTTTTTAGCTGAACTATGGAAAAGCCTTACAACAATATTCCCACATGCATCTTGTTCCATTTCTCTCTCTTACTTATTTCTCTTCTATCTTTCTTATGGTGTATCCTGACTCCTGCAAATTCATATCACTCTTAAAGTACACACTGAACACAATACCCTTCAGATTTCTAGTTGGAAAAACAATATTAGGAATTATGCCTCAGAGGAACAAAGAAATAAACCATATTACTGGTCAAATTTTAACTCAGTTTCAGGATCCAAAAACAACACAATGCATCTTAAAAAACAAGTTTCACAGCTGCACCAAGTAGCAAATATTTAGTTTCAGTTCTGTAAATATTTTTCTTAGTTACTTTCAGTTCTGGAAACATTTGAGTTAGTCTATACAATCTTTAGAACATGTCTGTTTAAATAAGAACCCTGGGCAGAGTTGGGTCCAGCAGAGTTTGGAGGAAAAAAAAAACAGTACCCTGTTTTCTATGAAATGCAGTATCCTGAACTCCTGAATAAAAGTAAATTTAATAAATAAAATTGAGGGAGGAGGAGAGAAAGAGAGAAAAAAAAAAAGAATGAAATAACTTTTTTCAAAAGCAAAAGAGGTCAGTAAAGGTATCCTTTCTACTGAACTGAAGCTGTACTTTTGGTTTTTCAAAAGCAAAAGAGGTCAGTAAAGGTATCCTTTCTACTGTACTGAAGCACAAACATACACTCATTACACGGTTGTTCTTTCTCAGAAAATCTGCCATATATTGAAATGCTAAAGGGTTTGCTGGTGGGCAGGGTCCGCTTCTCACTCTTACCCTCAAATCTCCACATCTCTTTTTAATTACAAAGGATCTATAAATCAAAAGCCATGGATCAATAAATGCAAAGCCCCTGTGTTTGCAGGGCAACACCTAACAAAAATAGCACTAACAATATAAACACAAAGAACATTTTTTTCCTTCATCTTCTTATAATCTAATTCATTGTTCATTTCTCTTCCCCAGAGATATTTAAGTAACGTACACAGTACAATAACTGATGTAGCAATTACACATCTATTCTCCAAACCATCCCTATTGCAAACATATCACTTTTACAGAGACTATCAAGTGCTAATGCTCCTAAAACCCAGCTTCCTTCATGCTGCAGTGGAAGAAAAGTTGCCTCTATTTTTTCAAATGCCATCAATTACATTACCAGATTCTCCCTCTTCCAAGCCATCTCTAAATGCAAGGTCTACTTTTAACATTTTCTGTGAAGTCTCTGCAGCTGTCATCTTGCAGCTTAGCAGAACAGATTAGAAAATGCCTTTAGAAAGGAAGCTGAAACCGAGCCATCAACGGTTTGGTATGTGGTGACGTTGAAATGATTTGCTTAACTCTTACCATGAACTCACGGAATGCTCTGGATAAGGAAAAATTAAAATATCACCAGATATGAGGAGATAATTCAAAGATTACCAGATTCAGGGATAACACTGGACACAAGAAAAAAACCTTATAGATATCACTAAACATCCACTATGATGGCTAAAACAAAAAGACTAATATAAATATTTTTAGGGGAATGTGCTACTACCGGAACTCTAATACAGTGCTGGTAGGAGAACAAATCTAACAACATAGAGTATCTATGTAATACTCTCTGACATAACTACCAAAGTTAAACATAACCAAATCCTGATCTAGTAATTCTACTCAAGTATATTTCCCCATGAAACACACATATATACACAAAAGAACATGCACAAAGTGGTCATAATAGCATTACTTGTAGCAAACCTGGAAACTCAAATTCCCATTACAAGTAGAATGGAGACATATTGCATATTAATACTATGAAGTAATATACAGCAATAAACAGGAAGAAATTCCTACTATGGACAACGCCATGGATGAACTCAAAAACATAGTATTTAGCACAAGAACTCAGACACTACTGCATACATCTTGAACTGTTATGCTTATATAAAGTTTAAAACAGACAAAAAGTATCTGAGAAGATTATTTTGTGAAACAGGAAGGAAAAAGGTGACTGGCAAGGGTCCAAGAGGGTTTGACACTGCTGGTAAAATTCTATTTCATAAGAAGAGTGGTGGTTGTATGGATGGTGCTCACTTTGTGAGAATTAAGTATACACTCGTGATATATAACTGTTCACTATGTTAAATAAAAATATTTACTGAATAAATATATTTGTGCAGAAAACAATACCTGTATTAAAAAAATAAAATAGCACATATTAAATGCATCAGAATGGGTGCCTGCCTATGGGGGTTTGGGAAGTAAGACTAAAAAGAGAATACATAACTAAGAGAGGCTATAGAAAGGTCAATGAGGACAATGTGGCATCAACTCACACTATAATTTACACACAATGTATTATCTGTGGTCTAAATCCCTTAAGCCACAGATGGCATGGCCTGTCTGGGAGAACTCCCTTCTTGTGCCCCTCAAAGTTCTGCAAACTCTGACAGGGAGGGCGGGTCAGAAATGGGACTAAAAATAGAATACATAAAATAAGAAATGCTATGGGAAAGTCAATGGTGCTAGTATGACATCATCAACTTGGTCTATAATTAACTTGCCAACTGCACTACCTGTGGTCTAAGTGGAGGGCAGAGAGTGTCCTTCCTTGGGAGAAAAATGAGGGGGTGATGGCACTTTTATTGAATCTTAAAGGAAGGGTAAGATTGTGAGAGATAAAATTGAAATGAAGTTATTTCAGCTATAAGGAATAAGACAGAACAATAATTCTCTACCTTGCCTACACATGTGAATCAATAGCGTGCTTTTAAAAACAATTATAACGTAAAACAGACTAAATCAGGACCCCTGGGGGTGGAATTTGAACATCCATATTTTCTGAGAAATCCCTCTCCCAAATAACACTCAAAGGAAGCCTGTGTTGAAAATCACTGGTATAGAGTACCTGAAGAAGAGAAGTATAAAAATTGGTAACAATTATATTACAAAGGTAGGTTAGTGACAGTAAATGGCCATGGATATAGCCACTGGGGACCCATGAAAGTAGCTGTGCAATGGGGGTATTAGTAATTAACACTGTAATTTTAGGAGATTTAGTGGAGCACTGCTTCCAGGATGGAAAATAAAAAAAGAAAGAAAGAAAACAAAAGAAGAAAGAAGAAAGAGAGAGAGAGAGAGAGAGAGAAAGAAAGAAAGAAAGAAAGAAAGAAAGAAAGAAAGAAAGAAAGAGAGAGAGAGAAAGAAAGAAAGAGTATGCCCTTTTCTTTTTTATAATGTAAGTTTTAAACTTCTCAAGTCCATACTTGGTACTTAACACTTGAAATTCCTTTTTATTAATAAATCCTAGTAGAAAGTGTCTCAGAAAAATGAAATAGAAAATTTCTCCTCTTCCCCAACAGCTGAAATCCTAAAATCTGGCTCTTACAAAATAGTAAATTGATAAAATTCACAAAAGTATCAGTATTACTCTCCTGATGAAATACAGATATTATTTAAAAATGTAAAGCCCTGTCTTGTGTTCTCTTATATAAAATTCTAGTAATGTCATCTATAGAAAGAAAGCTCTTCTAAGACACCTAAATATCAGAAACTGTAGCTTTGTCCTATGAAAGACTGCAATATGAACGTTTGTGTAAACTTAGTAACTGTCACATTGTAAATCGACGCATTCATCTTCTGACTGGATAATATTTTTCCCTGTAAGCCAGTAAAAAGCTTTAGAATTTCTTGTTTCTTTATGTGTAAAGGTTACTAAAGTAAATTAAAATGGACACCAGGCCTGAAGAATGCCTGAGCAGACAAACCCAGTTAAGCCTAAGAATTGACCTTAACCTTGACTGATTTGAAAACATAACTGAAACTTATTTCTGTAAGTCCCTATTTCAAAGAAAACAGAACTTAAACTCAACCAATCAGAAGTAGCCAATGCACTTTCATAACTAGGGACTTTCCAACGGAGTAAATCAAATAAGGCAAATACAAAACTGCAACCAATCAAATGATTTGTTTTTGCATTTACCCCATAAAAGTCCAGAACATTAAACGATGTTTGGTTTGATATTTCCCAATTTATGAATTCTTCTTACTCAAATACACTTTTTAAAGTTTTATTGTGCCTCAAGATTTTTCTTTAACAAGGTACGATAAACCTAAGTGCTGATTATACTCCGATTTCTAACTCAAATGGGAGTTAAAGTTGGCAGTTATTTGTAAATCAAACATTATATTTTGTTATAATTGTAGATTCAAGTGCAATTTTTAAAAATACCATCTGAGATATCTGCAGATGTCTAGACAGATTTTCTACAATGGCCCAGCCAGGGCAGGTGCCCCCCTTCTGATATCTAGTCAAGAGATGGGCATTTAAACAGATATAGTGAAACCACCTTCGAAAAATTGCAACTGAGGTAATTATGAAAGTGAAAGAAATCAGACCTAACTGACTCCATCTTGCTTCTAACCTTTAAGCTGTCCTTATTCATTCATTCCTGGGCATAGCCTGAACTAACTTTGGGAAGGAATTCGGTTTATGATTTGACTCTGAAACAAAATTGATAATAGCTCTTTCCCTTGAAGAAACCCCCTTCTTGCCTGGGAACCACTGGGCCTTTGCAGGACTAACAAATTAGCTACAAGATTAGAAATTACAGTTTGGGGTCATGCAGTCTCTGGCTCCAAGAGTCTGAACCTCCCCAGATTGTTCCTGGGGATAACATCGCTATTGTAAAACCTAAGATCAGTGCTTGAGATATTTTGCAGACCCTGCACTCCATGGATCACCTGACACTACCCAGACCTGTAATCTGGCCCAACCAATTCTGCCATCCAAGAACAGAAGACAGCAAANAAACCTGGAAACTCAAATTCCCATTACAAGTAGAATGGAGACATATTGCATATTAATACTATGAAATAATATACAACAATAAACAGGAAGAAATTCCTACTATAGGTAACGCCATGGATGAACTCAAAAACATAGTATTTAGCACAAGAACTCAGACACTACTGCATACACCTTGAACTGTTACACTTATATAAAGTTTAAAACAGATAAAAGTATCTGTGAAGATTATTTTGTGAAACAGGAAGGAAAAAGGTGACTGGCAAGGTCCAAAAGGGTTTGACACTGCTGGTAAAATTCTATTTCATAAGAAGAGTAGTGGTTGTATGGATGGTGCTCACTTTGTGAGAATTAAGTATACACTCGTGATATATAACTGTTCACTATGCTAAATAAAAGTATTTACTGAATAATACCTGTATTAAAAATACAGAAAACAATACCTGTATTAAAAAAAATAAAATAGCACACATTAAATGCATCAGAAGAAAAGTGTAAAAATTGGTAACAATGATATTACAAAGGTAGGTTAGTGACAGTAAATGGCCATGGATACAGCCACTGGGGACCCATGAAAGTAACTGTGCAATGGTGTATTAGTAATCAACACTGTAATTTAGAAGGTTTAGTGGTGCACTGCTTCCAGGACGGAAAAAGAAAAAGAAAGAGAAAGAAAGGAAAGAAGAAAGAAGGAAAGGAAAGGACAAAGGAAAGGAAAGGAAAGGAAAAAGGAAAGGAAAGGAAAGAAGGAGGGAAGGAAAGAAAGAAAGAGAAAGAAAGAGAAAAGAAAAGAAAAAAAGGAAAGAAAGTGTATGCCTTTGCAGGACTAACAAATTAGCTACAAGATTAGAAATTACAGTTTAGGGGTCATGCAGTCTCTGGCTCCAACAGTCTGAATCTCCCCAGATTGTTCCTGGGGATAGCATCAGTATTGTAAAACCTAAGGTCAGTGCTTGAGATATTTTGCAGACCCTGCACTCCATGGATCACCTGACACTACCCAGACCTGTAATCTGGCCCAACCAATTCTGCCATCCCACCCAAGAACAGAAGAAAGCAAAAAAAAAAAAAAAAACTCATTTTGACCTCCTGTGATTCTATCTCCAACCTGACTAATCAGCACTGCCCACTTCCCATGTCCCTTCTGCTAACTCATCTTTAAAAAGTCTGATCCCTGAATGCTCCCAGAGACGGATATGAGGAGACAGATTTGAGTAGTAACAAAACTCCCGTCTTCTGCACAGCCGCCTCTGCATGAATCTCTTTCTCCATTGCAATTCCCTCGTCTTGATAATCGTCTCTATCCAGGCAGCAGGCAAGGTGAACCCACTGGACGGTTACAACAGCACCGCGAATGCTGAGCTAAGAGCACCGTGTTACAAAAACCGTGGCACACCTCCCTTAAAAATAAGTTTCCCAAGAAAGGTGGGAAGAAAATAAGGGGCTCAGGCCAGCTGCAAGTAGATGCCTATCTTCCAAATAAAACGCCAAGCCCTCTTGAGATCACAGCACGTGCGCGTTTCCCCCCCAGGCTGGACGGACAAGCGGGATCAGAGAGAGTTGTGTGGGGCGAGGGCGGCTGGGTGGCCCTGAAGCAGGCCCCTGGGATCCCGTTTCCCTCTCCCTGTCCTTCCAAAACCCTGTAAGCCACAGACACCCGTGTCCTGTCCAGGGGACACCCCTTCTCAGGTCCCCCAAAGTTCTGCAAACTCTGATGGCAAAGGCAGGTCAGAGGCCCGAGACGTGGGGAGGCATCGCACAGGTTTTTCTTCCATGGCCTGGTCGGAGCGGATGCTCACCCAACTGAGAAGGCCCTGGCGCGGTCACACTGGGTAAATCGAGGCGAAGGCGCTTTTTTTGGCGCTCCTGGTGCCGGCTTCTTTACCCCAAGGCAGAGGCGCTGCAGAAACGGCTGGGAAGCAGGAAGGGAGGAGCGTTGCGGCTGCGGGATTCGCGGCTACTACTAAGCGGGCGCCCAGTGGGCTTCTAGGCTCTCTGGCGCTCACCCCTTCCGGTCCCCGCGCCGACCCGGGCCCCCACCTACGGAACCCCTTCCGGTCCCCGCGCCGACCCGGGCCCCCACCTACGGAACCCCTTCCGGTCCCCGCCATCTTCTGGCCTCAAGTCCGCGCCGCAGCCCCGGGGGCGGGGGACGGGGCGGGAGGCGAGACTGCGCCCAGCATGGCCCCACCTCCGCAGCGCCCCGGAGAGATCCGCCTGGGGCTGGATCCCCTGCCTTCCATTTCCCCGGCAGCCGCTGGCGCCTGTGACCCGAGCAGGAAGCCCAAATCGACAGGAAGGTAATTCCTGGACTACCTGACCCACATCCGGCAGGGACGTGACCGTCCTCCAACTGGGAGCGCAAGGCCGGGTCTGGCGGATCCTTTCCGGTGATAAGGACACAGAGGACGCCCTTGTCCCATGTCCCTCGTTTGGAGGCAGAGCCCAGGGATTGGGGGAACCCAGTGGAGGCCTCGACCCAGAGCCGATTCCCACCCTGGGGCACAGGAGCGTTTTAGGTGGTGAAACTATTCTGTGTGTAATGGTGGATATGTTATAGGAGCAGAAAGAACTCATTTCGGTTGACAGGGTAAAGCGAGTCTCAGGTAGAAAACCGGACAAAAAGCAGCTCAAAAATAGCTCCCTTTCTAACCTCAGGCCACTCAAAGAAATCACTTCTAACAAGAAGCAGCCTGAAGGAGCAGACAGTAAAACACAAGTAAGACAGCTCAGACACAGAAGGACTGGGGCGGGTGCGGGGAGTCTCCTGGCTAAATCACCAAGCTTCACACTTACACGGTGGACCCCAGTAAAACAGTAGGCCATAATAAGCAGGTTCCGTTCCCTTTAGGGGCACCAAGATGCCTACAGCTGCAAGATGTAGGGGAACAGACACAGAAACTCTCCCTCCCAAATAAGCAGGACCAAAAAAACACGGACTAAGAGTCTATGTGGTCAGGGAATGGGATAAGAGCTGATAAAAGACTGCTCTGTTCATGTAGTACACCTGGTCCCAACTAAACCCTGGGGCCCTAGGAGGATCAGACATCCCCTGCTCACGAGCCCCCTCCTCACTGGCCCATTTATAAAAACCCTGACATTTTTACTACAACTTGGCAGTAGGCTTGGGACCCCTGTTGTAATAGAGACCAGTTTTTCCTTTTGCCTATTAAACTCCTGCTCCAAACTCACTGTGTGTGTGTGTGTGTGTGTGTGTGTGTGTGTGTGTGTGTGTGTCCAAGACCTCAACTTCCTTGGCCATGAGACCAGGAATCTTGGTATTTAGCCCTGACAACGAGGCTGCTTCAGATACATCTCATACATTTGTCAAACCCACAGAATATACAACAGAAAGCGGGAACCCTAAACGATGGACTTACTCATAATGTATCAATATTTGTTCATCAAGACAAATTGTACAACACTAATGGGAGACGTTAATCATGAGGGAAATTGTGTAGGAGGAAGAAGTGATCCATGAGAATTCTACACTTGCCCTCGATTTTTCCACAACCCTAAAACTATTCTAAAGTAACATGTAGTAATTCTTTTTAAAAAGCAGATGACTTTTTGTCAGTTATAATTGTTTTTAGCTGTGACATAGAAATCTATAATCATCCTTCAATATAACTTATAATTTGTTGCCACATACAAATAAAAAAATATATATATCCTGCACCACTGGATATAGTAGGATTAGAATTTTCTTACATGATCATGAAACAGCCTTGATCACATTTCAGAAGTAGTACCTTCTGCATATGGATATCCAGTGTTCCCAGAAACATTTATTGAAGAGACCGTCCTGTCCACAATGAGTGTTTTTGATACGTTTGTCAAAAATCAGTTGACTGTAGATACATGAATTAATTTTTGGGTTCTCTATTCTGTTCCATTGGTCTATGTGTCTTATCCTAGTACCATACTCTATTAGTCCAAATGCTTATGATAAAGACGTATTCAAGGCTGGGTAATTTATAAAGAAGAAGATGTTTAATAGACTCACATTTTCACATGGCTGGAGAGGCCTCACAATCATGGCAGAAAGCAAAATGCACATTTTACATGGCAGTAAACAAAACAACTTGTACAGGGAAACTCTGCTTTATAAAACCATCAGATTTCATGAGACTTATTCACCATGATGAGAACAGCACAGGAAAGACCTGCCCCCATGATTCAATTACCTCCCATCACATCCTTCCCATGACACATGGGAATCGTGGGAGCTACAATTCAAGATGAGATTTGATTGGGGACACAGAGCTAAGCCGTATCATTACATCCCTGGCCCCTCCCAAATCTCATGTCCTCACATTTTAGAACTTATCATGCCTTCCCAATAGGCCCCCAAAGTCTTAACGCATTTCAGCATTAACTGAAAAGTCTACAGTCCAAAGTCTCATCTGAGACTACGCAAGTCCCACCTATGAGCCTGTAAAATCAAAAGTAAGTTCATTACTTCATGGCCAGGCTTCACAGAGCCGAGAATAAAATCTCATTTTCACATTTAGAGGAAAACACAAGAAAAGTCAGCAAATGAGAAACTGTGGCCCTTGAAGTGGGAAGAATGGTAGAATAATGTATTTTAGGAAGATATAAAGGAAAGACACTGAAGAGGGGTTACTTTATAGGATACTTTTCAGTGGTTTCAAATGTAGAGGAAAAATATCCATATTTCTCAATTACACTTATTATTTTCTAATAATGAGACATAAAGAATGCCTGCAGTATGCACGTAGGTAATACAACAACCTTATTGTAATTGCATCTCTGTAGGTTATTCTCAAAGAAGATTTGCATTGAACAAAGTTAAATAGTCAAGGACGACTTTATTCAAAATTGTTGCAATAGGGTCAAGCCTGTTTCAATAGGGAAGGGAGACTGTATTCAACTGTGTTGAACAAAAGGTGGGACAGTTTGTAAAGCCTGGCATATGCTAATGAAAAAGTCCTGAGGAATGTTAGTGGGGAAGGTGGGTCAACATGCTGAGGCCATTTGTATTTGCTAACTGGCACATACCGAAGTAAGAGTCCTACCCTCCACAGAGATGGGGAGATGAGGGAACTATTTTTCTTGATTATTATTTTTCAAAGAAATGGCTCCCAGTTTTTTGAGAAAGGTATTTCTGAGCCGTAAAACTGATAAAAGGCTAGAGAAAGATTTAAATATGAAATAAGAAGAAAGAATTTATAATGGGAAGATTTCTAAAGTAAATAATCTAAAGGATCTGTAGTCAGGAAAAAATCTGTCTAAAGTTTAGTCAAGTTGAGGGGAACATCAAGGCAGTCTTGTTCATCCTACACATGTATAAAACCTTGTTCAGAGTTACCTTGACATTAACTCACCCTCAAAATTCTTGCAAACACATAACAGAACATTTTATTTAAGTTTTCAAAGTCTAAGCAATGTGGATAACATTGTGTTGAAAGCAGCTAAAAGGCTCTTAGCAAAGCAACACAATAAATATTGGTTTAATTTACTTGAATTTAGCCAGACCACTCAACTAAGAGCAGAACTACCTTTTTAAGAATTAAGCCCAGCCTTAGGCAAAATTGTTTAGTAGAAAGCATTCTGCTTCAGTTCTTCTCCATATGTCCTGGTATTTCTGGTGTTATAACAGCCCGCAGTAGTACCACAGATTGTGAAAGGAGCCTGAATTTGGGAGTTGGGAAACAGTTCAGTCTTCCTCTTTACTTATCTACAAAGTAAAGAATACCTACCTAACAAATACAAGTATTGGTACATCCAATGAAATAATGTGGATTTAAACATTTTACCAATTACTTTCTGACTTCAGTACACAGGTGAACTGACCAAAAAAAAAAAAAAAAAAAAAAAGAGCATTGCAGCGCCCTCTTCTGGGAACTGTTGGTAAATTAACTCAGACGGTTGAAATGGATTTTCTAGGTGAATACAAAAGTTTCACTCAGGAATAAATGCTCCATTTTTAAAAATATATAAATACATTGAAATGTGCAGACAAACATCAAATTCAAACGCGTGAGGCGAAACACCAATGTTCATCCCTTTCCTCAACCCTTTCCACACATGCCTTTGGGCAGCCCAGGGAACCTCAGAATGAAAATCAGAAAATAATTTATCAAGAATTCATGTCAGTTACAGCAGTAGTTCTAAAACTTTAATGCACCTATTAATTACCTGGAGATCTTTTTAAACTGCAGATTCATATTCACTGGGTCCAGGATTCTGCATTTCTAACAATCTCCCAGGTGAGGCCTACGCTGATGATGGCATGACTGAAATCACCTTTGCAAAAATTGTAACAGCGAGAACATAACTACCCAACAGATTCACCTTGTCTAATGCCTAGACAGAGCCAAGCTATCAAGACAGGTAAATTGCGATAGAGGAAAAGTAATTCATGCAGAGCCAGCTGTGTGGGAGTCCAGAGTTTTAGTCAAAACTCAAATCAGTCTCAGAGCACTCAGGAAGCATATTTTAAGGATAACTTGGTGGGTGGGAGGAAGCCAGTGATACAGGTGATAGAAATAAATTATTTAGGCAGATAGTAAGGACAACAGAGTCATAGGCAGAGTTTTCCATTTTAACAAAAAGCAGCCCCCCAAAATCACTTTTTTTCTAACAAGGAGCAGCCTGAGAAATTGAACTGCAGACATAGCTAAGCAAGCTGGAAGCTTGCACCGATGAATGCCGACAGCTATGCCAATAGAAAAGGGCTAGCTCAGATGGAGGCTCCGTCTTCTTTTCTTTTCTTTTTCTTTTTTTTATATGTTGAAAATGTGGTTTTAATAGTTAATTCTTCATCTT